ATCTTCCCGAAATTGGGAATTTTTCTTTTGATATTACAGACACTCCAATTTTATTATATGTATATATATAGATAATCTGAAGGTGATGACATTAATAACCATAATTCGCAGATAAATTAAAAAGGTTCTCCGTGACGTCATAGTTACTCCTTAAACTGACTTACCATGACCTACTTCCTCCAACACATGTTTACGTAATAAAAACCCTGCTTTTGGGTTTCGATTTTAACTTTGTCGATGTTGACCTCTGTTATTTCGCCTGTTGTTTTTGTTTGTACACAATCAGATATTTAAAAAAAACTTAGGTAAAAACACTATGCTTTACGACTGCATCGCAAATTTACCGGAAAGGAATATTTTCAAAAAAATTTACTTGAAGAGAATTTATTTTAAAAATTAAAAAAAAATAAGGGTACTTATAAAATAAAATTGGTTTTAGTTCATTATTACAAATGATTTGGAATTAATTAAGGCTTTATTAATTACTAGCTTTTGTCTTCGAGTTCGTCTGCTCGGAATTTAAAAAAGCAATTAATTTTGATCTATATTTTTTTGAAATTTACATCGCGATCCGTTAACCGGAAAACTTTCGCATTTATAATATTTATTTAAGAGTATGAAGTATTTAGAGTGGGCGAACACCTTTGACTAAACTATCGCACAACTGTTGCGCGATTGTTCCGCAGCCTATTCAACTGTTTGCAGAACTAAAAGTCGAATAGTGTTCGTACCTCCATACAGACTCGTTGGTATCAAAGCGCGACTAAACAGTTGTGCGATAGTTTAGTCAAATGTGTGCATACTTTTACTCTTAATTCTTTTCAGCATCTACTTCTATTACCATGCGTCCTCGCTGTGAGTCTCACCGGCTCAGCTGACCAATCTCAAGGTCGTGGTGGATATGGTCTACTAAGACCGAACCCGAATTACTCAGGATATAACGGTGGATACAATGGATACAATAATGGATACGGAGGCTACGGCGGTGGATATAACGGATATAATGGATACAATCCAGGGTTTGGCGGCCCCGGGATAGGATCAGGTCAAGGATATCCCAGTAATTATCCAGGTATATGTTTTATAATTGTGTTTATTGGTTCTTCGAGAATTAATTACCGATAATAAGCACGCATATCACGTTAAGTTTGAATTAGATTTATTTAAATTTTTGTTATAACATCGTATTTTACTTATCGACATCCTGTCCGTGTTCTTTTAAAAAACACACAGTTTAATCGTTAGACTAAACTAGATCGTTATCTAACGGATTTAGAGCGATATTTACAACTGGTTTTAATTTTATAATTGTAAAAACGAGTACTAACGCAAAATCTCGTTTCACGTGTTTCACTTATTTATTTTAGTTTACCATAATATGTAATTTTTTGAAATATTAGAAACTAGCTTTCACCCGCGACTCCGTCCGCGCGGAATTAAAAAAAAATGCAAATACCCTATGTGTTCTTCCAGACTATCCTCTACATCTATGCCAAATTTCATCGAAATCCGTTCAGCCGTTTAGGCTACAAACTCTAACAAACTTCTATCCATCCATCTAAACTTTTGCATTTATAATATTAGTATGACTAGACAAAGCTAATCATGATCTAGTAGGTAATCTAGTAAAAAAATTTAACATGGGACTATCTCCAATATTTGAGTAACAATTGCAAGAATGTATTCATAACGTTCGTAACGTTGTCGACAAAATGTACAAATCTAATCCAAATATTTCGTCTCGCGAATGTTCAAGTCACTTAATGATTGCATTATTATTTGTTACCATAATAATAATTAATAATCTATTTTTTAACAGGCGGATATGGCGGCTACCCTGGCTACTCCGGCGGACCTTACGGAGGTGTGTACTTATTCCTACTTCTACTCAAAAGTCTATTCAGTGACACTAGTAATAGTAAGTTCACGTGATCATTCTCAGCTTGCACTTTAACTCAAGCTATTAATCATTAAAATTAATCTAATAAGTATAATAAATGTAGTTAGTTAATTAACTTAACAAATAATAAATAGTTATAACTAGCTTTCGCCCGCGTTGAATTTAAAACAGACGTAAGTAGCCTAAGTGTTCTTTCACACTATCCTCTACATCTATACCAAATTTCATCGAGATCCGTAGAGCAGTTTAGGTTACAAACACTAACAAACATACATCTAATCTTTCGCATTTATATTAGTAAGATTTATAACGACTTGTGTACATAAATGAAGATAAAGCGAGGTGTTTGGGTCTAGCTAATAGGAAATCCATAGTCTCTGCTAACCCCTCTGGGGTAACAAGATTGTATCAAAATTAATTTGTATTATTTGACTATTTTTAGGTAATCGTCCATACAATAGGCCGGGTTATGATGGAAGACCGAATTACAACTACATACCAAGCAACTACCAGTCTAATTACCCGGGCTATAGACCCGGATATAACCAGTATAGACCCGGTTTCGACCGGCCGTACCAGGGTAATGGATATTTCGACGGAGTTCGTGATGGATATGACAACTTTGGATTATTGGGAAGAAAAGTGTCGGAAATTAAGAAGGACGATGCTTGAGTGTAAATTAAAAAACATATTTAATAATTTAAATATTTTTTATATTACTTTATAAGACTTTAATATAGAATTTAATTGAATGATGTCTTTTAATACACTAAAGTTAACATTTCAAATAATAGATGGCGTTATTACAATTTAAAAAAAAAATATCTCAAGTGAAATGTCAATTATGCCTACTCTATACATATTTTTAAATCTTTGTTTCTATACGACCTGTCTATGTAATATGAATTTAGGTGTAACTTAGGAGCCACTAAACCAATCGGAAGTCATCGATGTGAAGAAGGAAGCTGCACCAGATCTGGCGTTCGCAAAGTTGATGGGCAGAGAACTGCTCATCACGTCTGTAATATCCTTGTTCTTGTTGGGACTTGCAGCTACCGTTTTCTTTTTAACCTGAGGGAAAAAATTAAAAAAATACAATAATAGGTAGCGATCACCGAAATAATGAAGCACGCGCTGCTTAACCTTGAAAAAAAAACTTGTGTTTTTATAATAAAACGTAGAATACAAGGAAGCGGCGAGATGCGTTGCCTACCTTTAGGAAAGAAGACTTACAAAAAGAGGATTTTACTCCTGCCTAAGCATCTCCTCTGCCAAATCCACTTTCCCTCCCCATTATTTCCTTATAAGAAAGAGATGTTAAATGAATTTAGAACTTACACTTTAGACTTTAGGCTGTACAAGGAATTAATTCTAATACACGTCTGTTTTCTGTGCTGTCGTGTTACTGGTGTCAATTGTTAGTTGTAAAAATACTATTAAATAGATGAATAAAAATGTATTGGATAGTTTTGTTAATACAAAAGGGACTTGAAGAATTATTAATCATATGTCAATTGTTAAAATATTCTTATGTATTTAAAATTATCACACTATTAATA